GGAGCCGGGGGAAGGCGGGAGGGGCGCGGCGGGAGGGGAAAGCACCTCTTGGCCCCCGCGGGGGCTCCTCTCGCCGGCCTCGGAGGGGACGGCCACAAACAACCGGCCCTTCGGAAGCGCCCTTGTGAGCAGCCGGGGTCTGACAGCCGAGAGCCGTCCCGGGGAGCCGCGGGGAGGAAAGGAGCGATCTCTGGTTGGCGCTCGGAGACCGTTCCGCTTCTCCTCGGCGAGGTCCAGAGCTTTGAATCGGGGCTCTAAATAGGCGCAGGGAGTCCGTGTTGTGTGAGGTTGTATATGTTTTTTGAGGACTCGGGTTTGTTGGTTTTTTTTGGGGGGGTGGGGGTGGTGGTTTGTTTTTGTTCTTTTTTTTTTTTTTTTGTGGGAGCGTCTCTTAAAGGGAATAAAATCTTGTGAAGGTATTTAATGTCTGTGGGACTTGGAGTAAACCTGCCATGCGCCTGCCCTTGTCACTTATGTCATCTGCCACGATTTTCTGATCCTTTCCTTTAAAATCCTAGGCGGGGGAAGAGTCTGTTTAGTCAGCAGAAAAGTGTTACTGGTGGCACATTGGGTTTTTAATTTAATCTTTTTTTTTTTTTTTACTTCAAAAAATGTGTTGCTGGCAGCTAGGCTCTATAGTCAAAGTTTGGTGCTAAAGCTATGTAAGTGTGGGGAAAAACGCAGTCAAATAGTATCAGTTCATGTAATATTTAAATCGGTGTGTGGTCTTTGAATAGTAAGTCGGTAGTCTGTCTTGCATATCATAATTTTTGTGCTCTTTTATTTTTTTTAAAGAGTCTAGTAAGATAGAGATACTCTTTAAGTTTCTGATGTAGTCTAAAGTGTTTGCTTTCTGTGATGTTTGTGAGTGACCAGTAGTTGTTAGAAAGGGCAGTGTTGTATTGGATGGCTGAATTCACTTGTCTGAAAAGATGAAAAGAATGGTGATGCTGATTTTTTACTCTCTTTTTAAATATAGGCAATTACTTAGCAAGTTTGACAGTGTATGACACCTCTGGTATATCAGCCATATATATATATGACAGCCCGATGAGTCTCATCAAAGTTCTCTGCTTCTTGATGAGCAGGAAAGAACTTTCTATACTCTTAAATAGAGTTTCCCAAATACTGTTCAGTAGAATGGGGTTCTATATGCTTCTGTGTGTCATTGTATGAAACCTGAATAAATCTTGCAGGGTAGGGTGTTTTTTTTTTCTTAGAATTGAGCATCCAAGCAAGAAAAAAGATAATAGAAACTACTATAGTCTTTGGGTTTGTGGAAGCTACCTAAGATAGCTGAATGCAGGTGGGTGTATGACTCATGAGCTGGCAGGATACAGGACCTCGCTGAGATCAGTTGACAATTTCTAGCGTGCATTTGCACTCTGAAATTCAGAGTGCCTGATAGGATGCTTCCTTAGAGCTTCTGCATGCTGATTATTACTCGGCTGAAGTGAAGCATGTATATAATCAATACACTTGATTCTCTTCCTGCGTACACAACTTTTACATCAGGGTAGCCCTATTGATTTCAGTGGTTTTGTTCTGTATGAGCATGACCATGCAAGTTCAGTGGGAATGATATCCGCTTGTAATTTACTGGAGATTGCATTGCGTTGCTACATTCAACTCAATTATATCCGTGATGCAGAATACCTATTTTGACTTGACTTCTAATGCCAAAAAAGCCTCCCAAAAGCAAAATCACAAAATAAACAGGCAAAAGTATTAAAATTTGACTTCCCCTCCCTGTGTGCGTGCATGCACACGCGCCCCCTGGTTTCAAACAGCCTTTGGTAATATCCTGCTCAGTTAAGAGTGTTGTGTGAAGTTTTACTGAGCCTACGGGATAGGCTTTTATGTCTCTTACACAGCTTATTGAATGTTATAGAAATGGTCTGAAGTGGTCAAATGCTGAGGCTTCGTTCTGTTCTCTGCAATTTTAGAGGGGGAATGCTTGCCAGAAAAATTCCAAAAGAAGATAAACTGGGGGGGGGAACCACCCTGAAACAGAACAAACTACTGGCTTGTGAAAGGGCAGTTGTACTAAAGTTTCCCTGCAGAATTAGGCATGCTTTATTTTGAACAAAGATAGTAGTTTTGCCTCTGTATTTCAACATAATTAAAGACTTGCTTGCACACTGATGTAATTGACTGGTTTAAATGCTTAGCAAAAAGGTTATAAAAAAATGAATAGTAAATAAAGCTATGCATCAGGATAAAACAATGAGCCCTATATTGCTGTTCTTGGGTATTTGAATTGGGAAGAAGGGCACTTTGCTCACCACAGTGTGGGAAGACAATGTGAATTAATTACTTGCTACTGTTTTCTAGTGCTGCTGTGTTAGCTTGTACATGGGTGGTACCAAATTTAGCCAATCATAAATCTTTGTCCATAAATGAGTATAACAAGCCCAGTAGCACCTCTTGAAATGTGGAGAAATAATCTGTGAAATATATAGCAATGTGATTAAAGGGGACTCCTTGATCCTTGTCTTGTTACGGGGTTACTTAGAAGTTGCAGTACTGTTGTTGGCAACGGTTTATACTTACCATAACTTCTCTTATCACCTTGGTATCTATGGTGATATCAAACTTGTGACCCGTGATTACTTTAATTAAAGTGTTTGGTTTGAAACAGGAATGCTTTGTTCTAGTTCAGATTAGCTTTCCAGATCTTCAGAATGGAATTATTTGCCTTTCTTCATGTGTGAAAATAGGAACCGAACAAAGGCGTTCTATTTTCTGAAATGGTTGAAGAGGTGTATGTGGTGGATACTTTAATTGCATTCCTGTAGTGTGTTTTCTCTATACTGTCTAATATCTGTCCTCATTATTTTCATTGGGGTATCTTGTAAGGGATTTTAAAAATGGTATGTAGTCGGTGGTGCTTTCCAAGTGAGACACTCCAGTTTGTACTAGGAAAATTGTTTTTATGAAGTGGAATTTATATATGCCTTTGCTAGATAATCAGCTTTAATTCAGTCACTCTTCAGTGACTGATGACTCCAGGTTGGGTACACAATAGTGCTGGGGGAGAGGAAGGATCATTAGAAATGACTTTGTCAGATTGTGCTTGCAAACCTGATTCTTAGATACAGGAGCATTTGGGAAGCTGGTGCTGAAACGCTGGCTCCATCACACCAAATGCTGGAATTTCAAGCAGCTGGGGCTTCATTTTGAGGGGGAGAAATATATTAGTGTAACTGCATCTGCTTCTAGGTAATTACTCGTAACTCTGTCGAGCTTTCAAACCTGAAATAGGTGTTGGCTTCAACTATTTTTGTTATCATAGTCTGCAAGCTTTGGGCTGAAATAGCACGACCAAATAAACATTGCCCACAAATGTTAAACTGCTCAAGTAGCCTATTCCTAAATGGGAAGGACAAAGATGCAGAAGTTAAGTGTATGGTTTGAACATGATTCTTGATAATCTAGGAAGCCTCTGCTGTGGACCTGTATTTGGAAGCTCAAGGGGTTCGTGTTGGGCTTCTGGAGCTGTCTTCAAAACCTCTTAAAAAAAAAAAAAAAAAACAACAAACAGAACAAAACCTTTAATATCCTGAAAAGTAGGAGATTGTCATTTGACTTTATCAGATTGCAGGGGTGAGAAAAATAATTATCTGCTGTCTAACTAGTTGTCTTACATAGTATAGATGATAGATGAGTCATTTAGTTCAGTTGTGGGCCTGTATTAAGGATGTCCAAAATTCTTTGCAATGACAGATAGGTAATGAGCTTATATGAAAATTTTTCATAATGGAGGCAGAAAGGGATTGTCAGGTGCCTTTAAAATACTAAGATGATAATCTGTTTCTGACTTTGATTAAAGCAACAATATAGACTTTTGGTATCTGTAAGCGTTGAGTCTGCCCTGACATTTTTGCCAGTGAACTAGAGAATAAGGCAGATACTTGCCTGCAGCTGTTCTAAGTATCTTTTCAGTGAAGTGAAATACATGAATGTGCTTCATCACTTAAAATGTCTCAATTAGGTTTCCTCTTTGCCCACCTTCAAACTAGAATCCTCTTACTTGCTATTGGATCCTTTCCTGAGAGGTCCATGTCACTTGTATGCTGATGATTGAGAAGGTCATAGTGCTTCGGCACAGTCTCTCACAAGTGTTGAAGTCAGATGATGACTATTGATATATGCGGTGTTTTTGTCAGTTCATGTCTCAGTAGTGTGAAATAAGAGATGGGTGACACAAGGAAAGAAGAACCTGTTCTCCATCTGTGTGCAACACACATCAGAGGGAAAGTAACCTAGCAGCCGATTAGGTGAAAAAATGACATACTGTGCAAATGGAATTTAACATTCAGAAGTGTCTGCTAAATAACTGTATTATTTAACAAGCTAATTATGGTTCTTTGCTTTCAAACATGACCAATGAACTAATTTGCCTGAGGAGATTGCAATGTGGTAGCAATAACCAAGCTGTTACCACAGTGCCTTGGTACTGCACAGTTGCTGAATACATCCTTTATCATGCAATTGCATTTCAGCTGTTCCTAAAAACAAATGTGTTTAACTGTGTGATCATAAAAAGAAAATGGAAGCTTAAGTGATGTTCATCCTTTTAGTTGGTAAGCGGAATGTCTTTTAACTTGGTACTTTGGGGAGGAAGCTATAGGATTAGGTTTCATAGCTTTGCTACCAGGTGTACCTTCCAAGTTCCCTTTTGCACTCCTTATTTTCCTCAGGGGAACACTGATTGAATAATGATGTGTCCTCCCTGCTCTGTGACAGAGGAGGAGGATGGCTCAGAGAACAAGGGATCTGGAAGTGGAGTACGATGGCTAAAATCAAGAACCACTGAGGGAGAAATACTGACACGGCTTCTTGGGTTGGGAGTTAAGGAGGTCATCTTACAAAGCTGGGGAGTTCCAGTCATGTCAGTTGGAGCTAGCTACTGTTCTAGAAATGTATGAAATAATGGGGTTCTGAGGTGGATAGAATTTCTGTGCAACAGGACTGCAAGAGATGGAGAAAGTGTGGTAATAAGAGCAAAAGGTTATCAATAAAGTCTTGGGAAACAGATTCCACTGTGTTTTGTCATTGATCTGTTGCATGGAATATGCGGTTACTAGTTTTATCCCAGTAATCTGGCTCCTTCCTACTTCAGCTGGTGCTCAGACTTAGTAATCTTAAAACTTCTGGTTATTTCACCAATAGAAATATGTTTTAAGTGGTAGTCACAAAATATGGCTGGCTAAAATACTGAGCTTTCACTATCTTAGTAAAAAAATGTGTGTTTGATGTACTTGCTTTGAAGAGCAGAAGTGAATCCGGTTCAAGATTTGTATTGCCTGTATATAGGGCATGAGCTAAGTGCAGATGGAAGGACACTGAACACGAAGATTTGTTTGGGTACATCCTAAACAGGTACATAGATACTTAGTCTGAATTGGGTTGTTCTATCTTAATGTAATTGGGCATAGAAGGATGTTGGGGGAGATCTGTGGTGTCTTTAACAAATCGGTGTTTTACAGTTTTATAAGATTAATATTGTACATAGCTATTGCAGCAACTGGTAGTGCATGTTTTTGTGAAGATAAAGTGGTGAACCGATTGACATGCATTCACATCTTCAGTATCTTTCAGAAGACAGGACTAAAATCAAGTTTCGAGTTGCTTACAGAAAGCTGCATTAGATGTATAAAAATAGTGCTAAATACACTCTGCAGCAGAGTGCCTTATATTTGAGTCTACTGTACTCTCAAGTGGTTTTAAGGGACAAAACAAAGCAGGACAAAACATAGCAGTTAATTTCCTTTTCCTGACTGGCTCCATGGCTCTGTCCGTATTTAGCTTGTATGGGTGGCATCCAGATTAGCTTGGCATGGGCATAAACTGCATGGAGTTACCATGCCTTATTTGTACCGTACTTCTCCAGAGGTGTCACTAGAATTCCTGGGTTGTGTTCCTGTGTTTTGCTTTGCTTTGGTTGCAGCGTGTTTGATTCTCTTGATGCTTCAGGAGAGGAAAAGGGGGAAATAATTGGATGTCATGGGCAGCAGGACTTGTTTGAAGGCAGAAAACCTCAAGCAGACAACCTGCCCTGTTTGCAGTGAGAATATTGGTTAACTTGTCAGCCTGAGTGAAAGTTTGTTTGGACTTTACCCTCCAGACTTTGAGCTGCTTAGTCCAGGTTAGTAGGGCATCACAAATAGACTTGTGATAAATTCGTGCATAGAGGACATTAGTAAAGTTCTTCCAAACTTCTTCCGAGGAAGTGTGTGGGTGTTTCTCTTTTTGTTTTGTATTCTCAATGAGTTGATGAAGTCATAGGATGGTCTGTAACTATGATGGTCTGGATACTAAAAAGCTACTGAAGTCTGCTACATACTTTTTCAAAAGTAGCAACTTTTTGGTGTGAACCAGGTCTTCTTTCTTGAAGGATGTTAGCCTGACTTAATGCTTTCAGGTAAATGTTTTGTATTTTCAGGTAAATGTTTTGTATTTTGTTGTTTTAGTCTGTTTTGGATCAATTTATTTTTTAAAAGTGCAGGTACGTGCTGCTATAGAGAGACTGTTTTTTGGTATAGGAAAATTTAGGGTGTTTTTTTTTTTCCCATGTAACTGTCAATATATTAAGGGATACTTTCTCTTATTTTCTGCTGTATCAAAGCAATATGTTCTTGGCTTTTCACGTTTTACTCCAATATCCTGTGGAATTGATTTCTGTTGGCGAGCTTTGGGGAAGGCACTGAAGGTGACTTTCTTTCAGTTTGACCCTCCAGTAACAAGAAAGCATTGTGGGAGCCTTTACGCTAGGGAAGGAAAGAAGAGCTTATGGAATGTATACAAAATTTCCCTATTGAGTCATGCATCTGATCTGAGGCAGGAAATGAAAACTTGTTTCTGTTATGAATGTCATCAAACAGTCAAACTGGAAGTCGTGGGTCGCTGTTGAAATGGCTACATTGAAAGCAGCTGATCTCATTCTAGTCTGCAGCAGGGAGAAGGCATTGCTTTTAGCTTTCCAGAAGTTCTGTGCTCTTCTGGGCTTCATAATGTCTTTTCTGTGGGCATTGCTAAATATCTTTGCTCAAGTTCTCTTTGGAAGAACAAATTGTTGCCAAATTAGAGGTTTATTGACTTGAATTTGTAACTCCTGCAGATGCTGTAAAACTTATCATATAATCCTTGCTTAAGGTAAATTCAGTTGCTTTCTTTGAAGCACTAATAAAGACTAAAAGGTAGTGTGGTGAATGGTAAACTAGATTAGAATTTAAAAAAAAGTCCAAATAGTCAGTGTTTCAATTTATTCTCAGTTTAATACTGCAGATAGTATTTTCTTATTAACACTCCTATCTTTGCAGTGTTGGAGTCTATTTTCCTCTTTCACCATGGAACGTGTACATGAACTGCTATTTGATCTGGTAGATCAGATTAAACCCCAAACCAGCAGTAACATTTCTAGAAATAGCTCAGTGGCAAACATTAAAAGCAGGCATTACAAATTGAATAGAAATTTGTCCGTAGTATATTTCTTTTATTTGCGTATGTCTTGTCCTCTCTTTCCCAATCTAAGTTACTGAGTAATGAACAATGTTATTTCCTGTGTTTCTGTTTAGAGGGGGGGGAAAGTGGGCTTGTTTGTTTTCTGCCTTATGTTTTTCTTTTTTTTTTTTTTTTTAAATTGAGGAAATGCTATTTCTGTCCTACCACTTTGTATTTCCATTTCTTAAACACCACCTGCGACATAAGACTTCCAGATATTTTTGTAAATACTTTGACTTTGCAAGCCCTTTGTATATAAAGTGACTTGCAGAATCTGCTCCCCATACACCGGGTAGAAGCAGTGCAGTGGCAAGTTTATTAATGTTTAGCTCCCTTGGGAGGGAGACACACTGTTTAGTTTTTTGCCTTTGTTCAGACCTGTCTGCAAGTGTTGAAAAACTTAATTTTATGGGCAGGTGCCGAAGCCCATTAGCAATTATTTTTAAATTTCTTGTCCCTCTGTGACGCTTCTGTCGGAGGTCAAGGAAGTCTGAAGACTCTGAAGTAAAGATCAGTAGTCCTAACATCTCAGGGTAAGTATCTGCCATTCCTCTGGTAGGCTTGCTTGGTTACTGACTGGTGGAGAGATCCAAAGGGGGTATGGTGGAGGTTAGTCTTGAAGAGGTTAAGGAATTGAAGGGCATTATTTCAGGAAAAATACATTATCTTTCAAATGCAGCCAGCATTTGTAGGGTTGTTCCACTTATTTCCTTATTTGTTTAAGTAGATATGTGACTTCTGCTTTTTTTTTTTTTTTCCCCACTGTGTTCTTTCTGTGTTCTTCATGCTCTAACTGTGTGGATGGGTTTTCTTTTTTTGCTCTTTACAATTAGTGTGGAAATCTGGAAGTGCAGTGTATTCTTTTAAATGTACAGCAATAGTGAATTTATATTGAGATGCAGCCTGATAACTTACATGCTGGTTTGTTCTTTAGTATGTATTGAATTTGGTATTTTGTGTATTTCAGATGATAAAAAAGATATTGACCATGAAACAGTGGTGGAAGAGCAGATCATTGGAGAGAATTCTCCTCCAGATTACTCAGAGTACATGACAGGGAAGAAACTTCCTCCTGGTGGAATACCTGGCATTGACCTCTCAGACCCCAAACAACTGGCTGAATTTGCTAGGTAAGTAGGAAGAAAGGATCATTAAACTAAAATGGTTTTCTTTCCATTGGTTTAGCTATGGAAGTGTTAGGCAAAATAAATGGTAGACTTAATATGACTTACTGTTCCATTAAATAATCTTCTAAAACAAGGGACTTGATTCAGAACAGAGTAGCTGATACCATGTTAAACTGGGTTTTATATTCAGCAGTGACTTCTTCAATGACTTCTGGTCTTTACATCTCGTTGGGTAAGACAGGACCTAAATACACTGATAGACTGCATCTTTGACATGATAGAATGTATCTTTCTTGTGGAGCAGCCTTAGATTCTTCAGCACCGAAGGATCTGATAAGCGAAACGCTGCCTTTGGGTTGTTCAGTACCAGAAAGCTAGACTACAATATTTAGTTTGTAAAGCTACTTACTGTTCTTTTTTACTTACTTTTTAAGCTGTAGGTCTCAAACTTCTTTTTAATGGAGTCATGTGTCTTGCACTTTCAAGTGCCGCTGATAATTGCAGTTTCACAGTTGTAACTATACCGCTTGGATTTTCCTCTAGTGAATCAGAATTGTAGCTCGTTTACATATCAATACGTTGACCTGAGTTACAAGGTGACTTTTACTTTCAAATAGAGGTGAAGTGACGGCGCGGGGGAGTACTGAAAGTGTCATGTGTCTTTCCCCCCTCCCGCCCCCCCAGCCCCGCAGAGCCCCGGCTCTGCTGCCGAGTGCTCAGGGCGGCCAACGACCACCAGAGGGCAACCGTGAGGTCACCGGAGAAGTCTGCTTGGGCACCTGGAAGCTGTGACACAATGGTTGCCTTTGCAGGGTTTATTTGGTCCCCTTCTGTGTGTGCATGTGGTTGTAATTACCAAAGGCGTACTCCTCCACTCAGTGCATGGGCAGCCTTAATGCTGGTGTCTCCAAATATTTGAACACAACTTTCAGCTTTCTGCAGCTGCTATAATCAGTTTTTCTCATGTTGAAATCAAAATGTGTGTATGAAGCTACACCCACCTTCATTATTTTCATAATTTTTCAGTTACCAGCTGGCTGTTCTTCAGAGTTCTAGTGCACAATTCTGACACTTAGAGCAGGTGGATGGTCAGATGTTGTTACTCTTAATTCCTGGGTCAGCTAGTAGAGGGAGTAGTATGCTGCTTCCCCCCCCCACCCCCTGCCCCGATCTACTGGGTTAGTTGCTAGATGGCAGGAACTGTTGGGACAAGTTCTGGTCTGGCTTCTTAATTAGGTGGATCTTGGTGTCCAGTGTGCATCTACTGTTCTTTCACCTTTTTGATCCTTCTGCCTTTTACAAGATTTTTCTGTTAATTCTGTCAGTGTGTTTGTGCCGGAGGATTGCCAGCACAGCCTCATCCCACAGTTATTTTCGATAAAACTATTGAACTGGATTTTGAAGGCTCCTGGTAAGATAGTTTTGCAGGGCTTGCTCCCTGTTTCAGGCTATCAGATCTGGAAATGTATAGAAACACATCACGAAGATCTAAAATCAGGGTTTTATCTGAAGTGGTTTGTGGTTCTAGCTATTGATACTGTTGTTACTTGTTTTGTTGACAAAACAGTTGTTTTTCCTCTGAGACCTGCTGGAAGGTTAATACAATTTTTTGTGAAAGCAAATGTTTAAGTGGTAGTCTGAGTGTACATAGCGTTCTAATCCTAAAAGGTTACTTACACGTTTCTGCTCATCATGTGCTTAGAATGGTATTCTCAGTTATTTTAAAACATGCTGAAACCTTTGGTTCTATTAAACATTTAACTGCTGAATAGCTATCTTCTGTTAGGAAGTTTAAATAGTTTCTCATAGGGTATTCTCCATGCAAATACTGAATGTTTTTCTCCAGATTGGTTTGAATACTTGAAATGGTTGCCAGGATTTGGACTTCTTGAAATTACCAGATTGCTTCTATCAGATCTGTCTGCATATTTCTTAATACTGTAAAATATGCTGCATCTTTGGGTTTTAGTTAGTTTTCTGTTGCAAAAATAGTGGCAGCTGGCAGCAATTTAAAATTGCCACTTTTTTCATTCATGGTAGAATGTTCTAGGAAGTTCTAGAGCTAGAATTTGTAGCAGATGATGGAAAGATTGAATTCTATGTGTACAGTCTCTTTTCTGTTAATATATTTCTGTACAGCAGATAAATTGTAATCCACTTCAGCCATAAGACAAATATATGGTGGTAGAGTAAGAAACCTGGGGGGACATCACCTTTACCAGTATCCCCAAGTTGCCCAAAGCCTATGAAGAATTGTTCTGATAGCTTAATTGTAGATATGTGAAAACTTCAAGCATCTTCTGTTTAAAGACGGATTTTTTGATTTCTTGGTCAGAATTGATGACTAACTTCAAAAAAAAAAAAACCAAACCAAAAAAAAGCCAACAACAAAAAAAAACCCCACCGGGTTAGTTGTATGTTAGGTCTTAAGTGATTGTGTATAGCTGAGGCTGAAGGAAATGGGTGTATTAGAATTTGCATTTTGCTTGTTAAGGTCTTGGTCCTCTTGCAGTGAAGCATTTTGGAGGGACTCCTTTTAGCTAATAACATGAATTCAAGCATTGGCATGTACAAACCTATTTTTATACTGATCAGTTGCGTTGTTGATCTAGATAGCTGTGTGCAGTATCACTGGAACCCTTGCATGGCAAACTGGAAGAAAAAAAAATCAGATTGCATGTACTGGAATTGTGTTTGGAGGTCCTAGGAATACAGTTGTTCATGTGTTTATTTAGTGTAAAATTCTGTGAAAGTTTCAAGCATTACTTGTTGCTTTATGATTCAGAATTTTGAAATTCTCAGTAGCTGCATTCTGAAATCTTTGAGCAGCAAGTGAAGTTGAAACTTACTTTTAAACTTAAGTAGCTTCACGTGCTGTGAGTAACGTTTTGAATAACAAATTTGTATTTTGATGACTTGAAAAACAATTGTGCACATTCTGCATATAAGGAAGTGTGAACTGGCTAGTAAAATTATATGCTAAATGTATTTTGTGCAGTTGTGAGCAAGTTATTTTGGGTTCCTTTCCTGTTTTCGTTAAGGTAGTTGGAAGAATCTCACGATATATTTGTAGAAATTAGCTACTCAAAATCAAACTAGATTCACTGTTTATAACTATGCAACTTACTTTGACTAAGACATTTGCTTTGATTCTTGGGAATAAAGTTCTGAGGTTAAGTTTAAACGGGCAAAGCTTGAATTCTAGTGATAGGAGATTTCAGGCAAGGTTCTGGAGTTCTGATCGTGGTCTGGTTATTGAGAGGTAGGGCAGGGGTGGACTTGGTGCTTGAAGTCCTCTGTAGCCCTTAAAAAACAAACCAAAACAAAAAAGAAACCACCCCCCCCAAAAAAAAACCCAGACTTAAAACTGTCATAATTCAGCATCTGCAATGGACACCACTGCTGCTCAGCAGCTAGGTGGCACTAGAAGAGTGAGCAGTTACACAGTCTCTTCTGATACAATGGTCTTTTGCCGCTTTTTTTAGTGCATTTGTCATTGAGTCATGTAGCAGGAATCCGGATCCTTTAACTGTAACTCTTATGGCTTTTCATGGAAAGGCTTTTATACGTTCTAAAACTATTGGAAAACAATGTGAATAAACAAGCTGTGTGAGAACACGAAGATGTGTTCAGTAATGCATAGACACATGACCGTAAATTATACCTGATTGGGTAATTTATCACCTTTTACAAATTATTTTGTTCTGTCGTAGGGCTCATGCATTTTCTCAAGTATGCTTTAAAAATGAAATAAAAAGGAAAAAAAAAAGTGGAATTTTCTTAGGCAATCATATCAGAATGTGAAGCATTAGTTGTGAATGATCTGTTCAGAAAAAAAGAAAACCTAATAAATTACCACATTCCCATTTGATACCTTTGACTGGGATGCTGGAAATCCCCTCAAGTGAAATAAAATGTTTTCTCTAAATTGATGACAAATAATTTCGTAGTTAGCTGTGAAGAAGCCATAACTGCTTAGGAAGTAGCACACATTTCTAATAGGTGCATATGGCACATTCCCTCAAACGAAGCCTCTAAAAGGGATATCCGTGATTGCCCTCTCCCTCCCTCTTACCCTTCAGACAGATACATGACTGAGCTGGCTGAAGACAGCAGAAACAGACATCAGTAAAACTAATACATAAGAGGGGAATATACTATAGGTGGGAAATTGGCACAGTAATGGGTCCTAGTGGTTAAAACTCCATGGCTTTATCTTCTACTATCTTAGTACCTTTACTGAAGGAGAGCCCTTGTGAGGACTGCCCTTCCTTTCTATCCACTTTCCAAAATGGATAAAAAAACAAAGGAGAGGAAACTGCAGTTTGAAATCGGACACCCTTCTTAGAAGTGACAAAGCATTCTGGCCACCTAGATTTATGACTTAGGCCTCTTTATGAGGTATATGCTTTTTGTACTGTTTTTGTTCTTGTTATAGAGTTTAAAGGGCAGTAAATTGACAATTGCTTTACCCTAAGTGGTGTTCTGGGGGAGGGGAAATCTCTTGCTCTGTGCCACACTGAAAAGGTCACTCTCACTGTTTAAACATATGATATTCTTCCAAACTTGTAATTATTTTTGCCAGAATCTTGGAGTGAAAGAACTTTTTCTTTTTTATGACATTTTCCAACCTAGCTGTGACTAAAGCATGGTAAGACACTGGCTGTGGGCTCTTTGGTTGTAGATAGATTCCTAGGACACCTTGCACCACTCCCCTTTTGTCTGTTTATCCAAAAGCCAGTCTAGCCAGTTTCAGGAGTTTTCAGCACAAAGGAATTAACTGCCGCAGCGTAGGGCCATGACATTCATGTTATTTCTGCCTCAGCAGGGCGGTACAAGGAGAACAGCAGGAGGAAACAGATCCAAAGTGGTGGTGACACTGCTGATAGAGAATAACTTCCTCTTCTTTTAACTGTTCTTAAGGATGTGTCATTGGCAGAGGTGAATATCACTGCTAGTTGTCAGAGACCTCTAGGATGTGTCAGAGGAGTTGCTTGAGAGTAATGCTATTTAGGTTTGACTTACATATAGAGGCAGAAGAAAGGATGTGAGAACACAGAAGTTAAACAGGCAAAAAACTGAAATGGCGGAATGACGAGGAGATTCTATACTGTTACTTGCTTTTTGATTTGTGGATTTCCATTATTCCTAGCTTTAACATGGTTTCTGTGGCTATCTACAAGACAGTAATAGGTTGTGAAGGTTGACAGAGATTTGGGGTGGAGACTGGTTCCATCAAGGTACAGTTCTTCAGTTCAGCTGGGTAGATGAAAGGATGTCATCAGCTGTTACTTGCTGATATTGCACAGTGACAGAGTTGCTTGCTTTATTTTGAGGAACGGAGTAGTTTAATACCTGTGATTTCACTCAGTCTTCTTTATGCATGGATGAGAGGGTGTGCTTTTATGGAGCTCGTTCTGTGAAGCTATTGGGTTGCATACCTTCCTGGTCCATCTGCTGTCCCCTATTCCCTCCCTCCACCCCCCAATAAAAATTAGCAGACTTAGCCTTTAATCGCAGTGTCCCAGTGCCTTGGTCCAAAAGGTGCGCTTGCTAGTTTTTCACGGTTAGCTAGTCTGCTGTTGCTACTCCTAGGCATGCCCCATCTAAACTCACTTCAGAAATGAAAGTTCTGGTCTTGCCATGTAAATTGACTTTCTGCAAAGGCAGCTGTTTCAAAAGGTCCACCCAGGTATTAACATGTGTGTCTGTAGTTGTTTTAAATACTGGTATGTGTTAGAGATCTGTTTTTGGTTAATGTTTCAGGCTAAGAAAACTTGGACGGAGCTGGTAGAGATGCTCTACTGGGTGGGAGCCAAAAGTCTAACCACCAGCAAGAGCTACCTGCAACAGTGTAATTAAGATCAACAGCCCAGGTTGTAGTCTGGTCTCCTTTTGCAGAAAGTTAATTTTAAAAGTAAGACCAAAATCTTTTTTCTAATACATTTGAATATGTAAGTCTTTAAATTCCTCTTTGAGTGATTGTCTATATGGATTCCACAGCCTTGTGAGCAAGATGGCATTTTTTTGACAAAACGATTTGTCGTAGCTGTGCCTGTGGTGTACATGCCCTCGTGCCTTTAATCGACGTGTATGAAGGGCCAAGCAGCTTCTTGCTGCCTGTGGCACTGAGATGTAACCTGGACTCTGTTTGCCACCTCGTCCTGTTGAAGTGTCTGCTTCTGTTTGCTCAAATAGCTTGGTTGCCTGTGGAACCCTGTGCTTATACACAGTCTTGTTCTGTATTTTAAGCTTAAGCTGCCCACTTTCCATACTTCCAGGAGAAATGAAAAGATTTAAAATCTGCCCCTTTATTAGCTAAAACTTGTTACAATTTTGTAGTTACTAGGGACTACATGTTTTTACATTCAAACATATTGCTGGGCTGATGGTCCTCACTTCAGAAATAAAGCTTGACAATTAAAAAGTCAGCTTATTCCAGAATGGACACTGATAATGTTACGTGCCTGCTCAGACACTGAACTGAAAAATGTAAGGTGCATGTTGAAGTTTCCATCTGTCCCATGTCTGACCATCCAGTTTAGCTGCGGTTGGTTCCTCAAGCTTCCCGAATACACTGATCTAGAAGCTTCCTTACTACACTGGCCAGGGTATTTTTCCCCCTCACTGTACTTCAGCAGCCTGTTACAGATGACACTGTTGTGGCATTTCTTTCTCAAAGATTGACTTAATACCAGAGGCAATATGCAAGAGTTACAAGTAGGATTTAACACAATGATCAGTGGGGTCTTACACCAAGTGTTGTTAAAAAAAAAAAGCAGGCACTGCCCACTCTTTACCACATCTTTTGTTAGTGATTCCTTTTCTGTCTAGTCTCTCCCTTTACGGGTGGTCAATTAAGACTTCAGAACAATAGTGTTTTTAATCATTTTGATGGTGTCACAGACACAGATCATGGGCCTAAGAGTTTTTTTGCTTTGTTTTTTGGGGCTGGAGGAATGACTCGGCCAACATTAACAAGTTGATAGAGTTAGAAGTAAAGGAGGTGGTTTTGGCACCAGCTTTGTCCCCTAAGGGTGTTTGTTCTCTAATGGCTTTAAACCATGGCACTTTGTTCTCCCATGTCCTGTCTTATCAAAGCATTCTCCTTTGTCCATTTTGGCATAACAGATGCTCGTTTCTGTGCTTTTTCCTTTTGTAAAAATCGTGGCGACGTAATAAGGAGAATCCCATGCAAAGGGTAGTTGAAAGCTTTCTGTGGAGGTAAGAAAGCTTTAGTGTGTATGTATAACCTCAGTACCTTTAGTACTATCAGTCTAGAACGTCACTGGAGAATGTAGTTGGTTGGTCAGTTAATCCCAATCACTTGTTTGGATTTAGGTCTTTAATACTTTGGACAAAGAGGCTGCATAAACTAAACACAGCACGATCATTCTGTATCCCAATTGGATTATATAAATTAAGTCTAACCAGTAAGGTCATCTAAGTTGGTCTGTAATCTTGGAAAAAGAAAAATTATCGGAAGATAAGATAATAAAGAGGCTGATCTACAGGAACAGATACAGTTTGATGTGTTCAAGATGGTTCTGCCCTTAAACTGGTGAAATATTTAGGTAGGCTGCTGGTGATGGTGTGAGAGGAGCTTTGTCAAAACAAATACATTACACCTGTGTTCTAGGAGCTGTTAGTGTCTGTAAATGAGAGGATTGTTGGATATGATACTCTCCATCTTCCATATTTTTGTCATGTCTGTATTTTTAACTTTGCAGAAGAATGCAGCGTTCTTCAGTTGGCACTGTATGTATTCAGTGTAGCCTGGAGATGCTGAGCCAGCAAGAGTTTCCTAAGCGTCCACTCAAAGAAAAGAACAAATGCAGGCTCTAAATCCTTGGGTTTTAACGTGTCTGTGAAGTGGCTAACTGTCAAGTGCTTTAGTCCCTATGTGATCACTTGAGCTGCGTTGTATCTGCAATACTGAGAGGAGTCAGATTGTTTGAGGGGCAAATGATAGCCCACAAAGCCATGGGAGACTTCTCCATCGCATATGACTCCAGCGGCAGTTGTAAGGACGTTTTCCTGGATTCAGTCTTCAGGACTTCTCAGGGAGGTTTTTCACTGCTCTTGCCTTAATTCAACCTCACAAAGCCTTCTGGTGCTGTCCTCTCTAATCTGTCCACATGAAGGTAACAGATGAAATGGCAAATTCCAGCCATACGCATAGGAATGTGACAGTACCAAAAGAGACTGGACCCTGCCTGCAAAGAAACAAATGCTTATGTGGTCGAATTGGAGAGATTTTATCTTATTTTCCCTCAGCTCTTGGGAATTGTTTTGAATGCTTAGAGGTTGCTGTTTAGCCACTCTTAGATCAATTATTAAAAATGCATGTAAAAAAGCACATGTGTGTACCACCTGGAAATCTCTTCCCCAAGCCCTGTTCTTCCGTATCTGTTTGCAGGAACTGAACTCATGGGGATTAAAACTGTCTTGGAGAGCAACAGACTCCTCTCCTTCTTAATGTTAAGAATAGTGATTCTGATAATTCTCATTCTTTTGTTAAATTCAAGCCACCCATATCTGTTTCATTGAGACTAGAGAGTACACCAGAAAACCTTTTGTTTAACTTAAAGGTGATAGGTAGCTACCTTGTCACACAGAACTATCTTGTACTGTATTACCAGGAAAAATGATTCAGGAACTCAGATAAACCAGCTAGCTCCCCTTCTACAGCAAGGTGTTGGAATGTGCAAAATCTCATTACTTATCTAAGTGAATCTCCAGCTGTAGGAAGTGCATTTATTTATGCCTACCTACCTCTACCATAAGGTGAAGAAAAGCCATTTCTTTTTGATTTTTTGAAGACAGCACTACAGGTGTAAGAAATAAAGATAGGTAAAAGTGCAGTGTATTTCCCTGGAACAGCTTCCACGCAGCAGACTCTTCTCTGACGTTCAGACAAGTGGTTGTTACAGCAGGCCTGTTCTAACATTGTTTTCTACAGGGAGCCTTAATTATATTTGAAACACCTAGCACATGCAAGCAATAGTTTGCTGGGCTCCTTATGTAGTCGGTTGGGACTAATTGCGGCCATAAAGTAGCAGTGAAGATCCCTATCAGCAACCAAGAGTAAATAGATGATTGCTTGTCAGTTGCCAAGAGTGGAATCCATGTGTGCAGTAGCTTAAATTAAGAATAATTGCAGTTTCTATGTTTATAATGGATGTCTACATTGCCTAATTAGATTCTACAAGTTGCCTGCCTTCCCTGCTTCTGTAGAGTCTTCTGAAGTCTTGTGTGGTGAAAATACTGAAGAATGATTGAGGCTACTCTGTCCTTCATGTCCTGGTGTAGTGATGGAGAGAAAGTGAAGATAAATAGGCCACATGGGTATTGGCACAAGAAAAAATGAGTTTTCAAACAAAACCTCCTAATTACAGTTAGAGGGTTTTTTACGACTTATAGTATTTCGGCATATTCGAAGAACTAGGAAGGTAGTATTAAATGTTTTATTTTGTACTTGAGAGGTCATTCTGGAAAAGGTGAACTTTCCAAATGCTGAATTGTACTGATACTATTATTATAAAGGTTTTAAAAATATTAAACTGGGTACTACTCATGCACGTAATACTATCAAATAAGTGAGTGCATTGTGCAGGCAGTTAGGGGAGAAGAACTGTCTACTAATGTTTTTCTACTAATGTGTTGGGTTTTGTTGTTTTTTTTCTTTAAGAATGAAACCAAGAAAAATCAAAGAAGATGATGCTCCACGAACGATAGCTTGTCCTCACAAAGTAAGTGAAGTGCTCAGCTTCTGAGTAGGTAGTAATTTGTAGACCAGAATTTTGTATTGATGTTTTCTCTTGAGAATGAATAACTAAAATATCTTACTGTTAATAGACTACACTCAGTTAACTGTATTTTAGTTATCATTCTTTAGAGGCTTCCTTGAAAACCTTTCACTGAATAATATATTATTCCCATTCCTTGTCTTAAGGTTAGTGCATCCCTAATCTTCTGGTAACCATGATGCACAGTCCCTAACATGCTGGTTTTACTGTTGTGATTTCCTGCCACCCAAGAATACATACTTGAAAGAATGTTCTGAGAGCTGTTCAAAGTACGTTCCTAAGATCTATATATCCTCTGCTTGGAAACTGTGACAGATTTGGAGTCTAGATCAGGAATCAGCAATTTATGGTGCAGATGCCAAAGTCAGCATTATTGGAAGACTGAATTACATTCCACAGAGCTGGAAGGTGCATCACCATGAGAGAGAGAGAGAGGCATCCTGGAGATTCGATTCTGATCCACTGGTAGCTGGGAAGCCTCTGTCTTGAATAAATGTTGCCAGTCACCTAGATTGGTAGCATCTGGCTTTACTGCATTATCCAGCTTTTGCAGAGCTTCTGTTGCTGACTTGGTCTGTAATGAAAAAAGACAAATACAATCTTGCTGGCTTCTGGTCTAGATAAGTGCGAGCCTAAGCAAATAGCCAGGGTAGATAGCTAGCTCTCACATTAGAGAGTATGAATAGAAGGCTTCTTTCTGACAGCCATAGTCTGAGGAATGTGCTGGATTCATCTTTGTGCTTTTATTGATTTCCAGTTCTTCACGTTCTACAAGGTCATGTTTTTATTGTAGTATAGTATGTGGAGATACAGGAACAGTTACTCCTTACAATACCGAGGAATGCTGCCTTCATTTCTTTGATTTACTTTTTCATAGCCTCAACTTCATCTGAACAGGGGAAAAAAAGAATATTCTGTCCTTCCATTTTCTCCCTTCTAGTGTTTCTAGGCTTTGTGCATTTATGACTTCAGTTTAGGAAAGAAAAATATTTTCTTTTAGAAGATGTAACTGCTTCCCTCAGGCAAGCAGGGGCTTTGAAATAAATGCAAAACACATTGATGGTATGTTTATTTTGGTGCTGCTTTGCCCCACCCAGTTCTGTTGTGTGCAGTGAATGATGGCACAACAGTTCGTAAATCAGCCAAAGAAATTCTAGTGCCTGAAGAGAGAACTCTTCCCGAAAGTGGCATTTCCGTGTCTTTAAGAAATAAGGAGTATTTAAATGTGGCTATTAGTTTGGGGGAGGGGGGAGAAGTAATTTCCAAAGACAAAGCGTGTGGAATCTAAGATTGGAAGTTGAATGTTCCTTTAGGTTTTGTTGTCAAATTTTATGCCTCGTAACAGAGTGATGTTGGTAGACTAGTTTTATGTAAGTTTAAACAGCATCACTTGGAGTACAGATAGAATTTACAGTTGTTAATAGATTTTATGAAGGATTTTGAACCTTGAGGAAAAACACTTATAAAACATATGATTAATGTCCATTGATTGTCGCTAAAAGGTGGAAAAAAAAAATGTATACGGAGATGTTAATTAAAGAGAGCCCCAGGTCGCTGCTGCCTTAAGTGTACTTTGGAATCAGAAGTAGTATTCCTTTGTGGATGCAGCATGGACTCCAGATTAAGACTTTTGATGCTGTACCAGAGTTAATGAGTTTAGCTTTAGGCCGTGTTGGCACTAACTCAGGGATTCTCCATCCCTACCTTATTCAGTTGCCCGGTATCACTTAGTAGGTTTAAACCGTAGAAGCAGTGGCAATCTCATTATATTTCAAGGTGGTAGCGATCAATCTGCTGCCGCCGGTTTGGACAAGGTAGTTCCTGCAAGTTGTTACGTGCGGGAAACCCTTTTGCTCCAGTTCTTCTCAGGAATGAGGAGGACAGAATGTTGGGAGGTGGAGCGGTGCATGTACAAATTGGTACTAGAGAATAATCTGTGGTATATTAGAGACTATATCATATATTGTAGTACTCAGAATATGGCACACTGAGGAATATACCGTAGGTATCCATGAATTATCATTCTGTCTTTTGTTTGTGTGGGGTTTTTTTGTTTGTTTTTTTTTCCTCTGAAACTGTAAGTGCTTTTGTTTGGTTTATTCATTTGCTTCTATCAGAGCTGCATCTTCTCCATGGTACTGTCCTGTTATTCATTTGACTACATGTGGTTCATAATACTAAGTGAGGACAGGGTTTGGGGTTTTTTTGTTTGGGATCGGGTTTTTCGGGGGTGGGGGGAGGGGGTTTGTGTCAGCTTTTCAAATTATTGGCTTTCTTGGTATTGTCTTTTTTAAAAAATAAATGTAAGGGGTCTCCTTTTCAGGGCCAACTTTTAAGAAAGTATTCAGGATATGAAAGCATTTTAAATGCTTGTACTGTAGCAGATAAAGCCTTCTTTATCAGAACTAGCTTATCTACTAATTGAGTTTCACTGTTCTTTTTAAGGGCTGCACAAAGATGTTCAGGGACAACTCTGCCATGAGGAAGCATCTGCACACTCATGGCCCTCGAGTACACGTATGTGCAGAATGCGGCAAGGCCTTTGTGGAGAGCTCAAAACTAAAGCGACATCAGCTAGTTCATACCGGAGAGAAGCCCTTTCAGGTATTGTTAACCTCCAGACATAAGTACCACAATTTTATTTGGTAAATGTGTAGACTGTAACTGTAACCCAGCTTCCATATGACTTCAGGGATACTATGTTGTTTTCTAAAATCAGATAAGGCACTGAATGATGATCTTAAAAATTGGAAATCCCCTTAAGCTAACTAGGCTGTCATTTAACTATTTCCGTGGGCTTTTGTTAGAAATTAGCAAATTGTATGTACATGCGAGATAACTTCCAAAATATGATGTAAAGTTAACCCCTTGAAAAATTAAGTCTGTGGTTACTACTGAATGAGTAGTAACATCTTTTCAGCTTAGCATTTGTGGACATCTGAGACTGGGGGCTGTTAGTATCATGAGTCAACTGAACAAATTTTCAGTAGCGAGTATTAATCAGTTTTCAGCAAAATGATGGTAGTCACTGAATCTCTTTCCGTTCATATCAAGTCACGTGAGCTTCTGCCACCAGAGGTCCCCTGCCTACTTCCTATGATACTCCTTATAAATCTTCTTTGCAGGTATTCAGTCTTGAGCATATCTCGTTCTCCAGTACATGTTTAAGATATATATTTTTCTATTGACTTTTTAAAAATAAATCATTTCAGAAACTTGATTTGCAGTCCTTAGGCATTTACTTAGATGTATATGCTGGATCTGCTATGTGGTAAATATAAGTATTCACTGCTAAACATGTTGCCCCTTTGTATTCCAAGCCCATCTTAGAAGTAAAGCTGGTAAAATGAGCAAATTATCACTGAAAGCGGGGAAATTCTGACCTGAAACATTGCTTCTGTTTTCTAGTACAGCATAGCAAAATATTGTTCTAGATGCAGAGAAAGGTATTTTTGGTGAAAGCATTTGCTTGCAAGCTGGAAGTTATTTTCCCTGCTTGAAAATAGATATACTACTGTGGTAAAACAACTTGAAGTATTCAGGTGATATCCACAGCTTCACCTGTAATAATCTTCAGCATCTAGCTTCATGTTTGTGTAGTGTAGTGACTTAAAGAAAAGTGTTGTTTTAATCAATGATTGAAATGACTACTATTTTGTTAGCTAATGGAGTATGTCTTTTCCTTTCAACAGTGTACGTTTGAAGGATGTGGAAAGCGTTTTTCACTGGACTTCAATTTACGCACACATGTGCGAATTCATACTGGCGACAGGCCCTATGTTTGCCCATTTGATGGCTGCAATAAGAAGTTTGCGCAATCAACTAACCTGAAATCTCACATCTTAACACACGCTAAGGCCAAAAACAACCAGTGAAAGTTGGAAGAGAAAGCTCTTGAACTCAAAGCATCTTACAGGAGTATGAATCGGAAATAAATACGCCTCCCCTTTGTATATTGTTTCTAGGAAAGAATTTTAAAAAAAAGAACCCTACAAACCTAAAGGACGTGTTTTGATAAGTAGTAAATAAAAAGCAAAAAAAAACCAGAAAAAAAACTTTAAGGTGACGTTGCTAAGATGCTCTACCTTGCTCTGTAATCCCGTTTCAAGAACACGGTGTTTTGTAAAGTGTGGCCCCAACCGGAGGGGTCAGTTCATGAACTTGCATCAAAAAAAGACAATTCTTTATACAACAGTGCTAAAATTGGACTTCTTTTCACATTCTTATAAATATGAAGCTCACCTGTTGCTTACAATTTTTTTAATTTTGTATTCCAAGTGTGCATATTGTACACTTTTTGGGGATATGCGTAGTAATGCTATGTGTGATTTTCCTGGAGGTTGATAACTTTGCTTGCGGTAGATTTTCTTTAAAAGAATGGGCAGTTACATGCATACTTCAAAAGTATTTTCCTGTAAAGAAAAAAAAAGTTATATAGGTTTTGTTTGCTATCTTAATTTTGGTTGTATTCTTTGATGTTAACACATTTTGTATAATTGTATCGTATAGCTGTAATGAAATCATGTAGTATCAAATATTAGATGTGATTTAATAGTGTTAATCAATTTAAACCCATTTTAGTCACTTTTTTTGGAGAAATACTGCCAGATGCTGATGTTCAGTGTAATTTCTTTGCCTGTTCAGTTACGGAAAGTGGTGCTCAGTTGTAGAATGTATTGTACAGGCACTGACCTTTTATTAACACCTGATAATATGTACATCCCGTGTAATAGAAAGGGCAACAATAAAACAGTGGTCCTAAAGAAAGAATATGGCAGAAAATTATCTGTAAGCACAGTCTATTTTCTTTTGTTGTCCAGAGCAATCCTAGTTCCTCTTGACCTCCCAGAAATTGGAAGCTAAATAAACTCAAGTTTCCTTTACTTTGCATTCAATTGCAATGATTTGTGATGAAATTACATATTGCCACATCAGGTGGTATACCTAAACAGAATTGGTGGCTGTAATTCCGTTTTTGAGTGACCTAGACTTCCATTAACTGGAATGGTGGATTTGGAGACTTGGCAGTGTAGTGGGGGAGTTTTCCGTGTGCCTGGACAGCAACTATGTGAAACAGTACAGTAAATAGCTAAATGGGCACCTTTGTTCGGTCAGGGTAAGGAGTCTTAGAGGTTTAAGTGCAGAAACAATAGAAAGTGGGGGAATGGTAGGGTTTGAGTGGTCATACCAGAAAAAAAGAAAATTGTCTTTTTCTTTTTGCGAATTTGGTTGACTGAGTATAATGATGACAGTTCTTGGTACCTCACTGGACACCTTGTACTTCAAAACAGGAATTCAGTTCTCGGAGAACTTGATGGAGTTTTGATGGTCTAGCTAAAAGTGGTTACTGCTCAGTGGTTCAAATGTTCAAAGTAAGAAATTTGCAGATATTATAGTAAAATGTGATGGATTAATAAACAATATGCTCAGAAATGCATAAGTATTACTTTTTAGAGGGATGTGACATATTTTAATATAGTAAAAACTGTTGTTAATATTTTCTGAATTCTGTTCTTACAAGGTTCATCATATTTTTCATTGCTAATACAGTAAAACTTACTTTTGAGTACAGTTTCAGTGGTAGTGGAAAAAACACGGGTAATAACGAAACTACGCTTAAGAGCAAGGGAATTTTCATCTGTACATAAGTTAATCTGAACACTGCAGCTCTAGTCTGAGGTTATTAGGGGTAGAAAGAAAAGTGGGACATTTAATTGTAAAGTATGCATTAGAATTTTGGCAGTATTTTTTTTTTATATAAGCTGTTCTTGAACGGGACAGTATACTGAAACTTGTATAGTTATAGTTAAATTAAATTCTGTGTACAGTTAAATTAGTGTCTATTCTTTTTGGAAGGAAATAAAATCAGTTCAGTCTAGTTCTAATTGACCCTACATTTTTTCTTAAACAGTATATATGATGCTGTTAGGCTTGCGCAGAAGTTTGCTTTCCTGTGTCATAAAGTGGTACCCATTTTATTGAATTGCAAGGTAAAGAGATTCCTTGATGGTGTCGGTACTTCATCCTTGAACATTTGAGACTAAATTATTTATTTTAAATACTGATTTGAGGATTAACTGGAAACTGAAACTTGTATTGCCCCTAGCTATATTGTATCTGGTTACGGAGAGAGATCTGAAAAATTTTCATCTACACCTCAAATCGGTAGCATTCAATACACTTCTGAGTGTAAGTAGCAACGCTTAGCATGAAAGATCTGGCTTTGTATCTAGTTAATTACATATTGGGTATGAATAAATACTTGCATTGAGCAGCTTCTGTAAGTTATTTAAGCGTTTAAAAGTATAATTGGCGCATCTTGTTCTTAAAACATCATGCCTAGTTGATTCCAGAGTTCTCCTTATGGATTTTCAGTGAAGAATTTGCAGGCTTTGAGAATAGAAACCACCATTGCCAGCCTACTGTTGACAGGTTCCTGCATTATATCACCGATTTGTGAGCAAATTCAGGTAAGGGGAGGAGAGTCCCAGGGGTGGGCAAAGTGTAGCCAGTGGTTTTAAAGCTGGCAAAAGACGTAAGTACTTATTCATGCCTGTTCATTTGATCTTACATTTCGTATTGCCTTGCCTGGTCCTGCTGCTGTTGAAATGGAAGGAGGCAAATTCTGTAGTTGCGTGTCTTTTGGACTCAGACTATTTTTATTTTTTATTTTTTTTAAAGGTAGAACTGAATCTGTAGTTGCGTGACTTTTGGACTCGGACTATTTTTATTTTTTTTAAAGGTAGAACTGACTATAAACTTTTCCAGCTGTGTCTATTTGTGGTCGGCCAGTAGCAGTAGGTCCTGCTTTAAATACAGGACCTACTGTATTTAAGGACAAACTGAACTTAAATGGCTGTTACTTCTGAAGATTTGTTTCTATTGAAAAGGTGGTCTGAGGAGCCCAGGTGCAGATTTGAAATGCAAAGTGAATAAATTGTTAGTGAAACAGAACTGAGAACTCCTTCCTCTCTGCCAGGACCTCAGCTGAACTTGCATTTGACTTTAGTTGTCTTCTTTTTGAAGAGTTTCACTGTTGAATTGAGGTAGTGCAATTTGACACTTTTTTTTTCCCCCTACAGTGGCCACAAATTGTCAGTCGACAAAGCCAAATACTGAACACTTTCTAACAACATAGCTTGTCAGCAGTAATGTGCTTTTAAAGGCAGACGAGATCCTTTCCCTCTGCTAATTCCACAATAAGTAAAAAGCAGAAGAAGCAATAGTTAACAGAAACGGCAAAATTATTGAGGCCTTAAAATGTTTGAATAAAGCTGATCCCTTCACAGTGCTGGATAAAGAGGAACGGCAGTGGTGATAAAAGGCGTTTCCACTTGGTCATCACTGGCCCTAAGGTGCTCACAGGTTATTTTATCAGTGCATGCCTTGGAAAAAACAGGACTGATTAGTCTTTCTACTGAGTTAAGATGGGCAAACTCAAGGACAGTACGTGATGAATCGCATTCTTCAAAATGTGGTTCGATAATGCCTTGAAGAAATAGAGAGAAATCAGTATTTTTGTCAGGGCTGCTGGACAATCAGTCTAGGAAGTCTGATCAGTCGCGCAGTAGCCATCGCTGATGTTGGTTAACCCAGTTGTTCTGTAGTGATGGCACTTAGGAATAATAAGTTTTTCATCTTTACAGCACCTTTCAAAAGTCTGTGTGACAGTGGCTTGAGAAAAGGAGGGCAGTAAACAGTGTTTGTGTGAGCATTAAGTTTTGACTTCTTAGTAACTGCTCCAATGTTCCTGTATTGCATAAAGCTATGGAGAAATTAAAGGACCTTCAGAAGCTACAGAACTTGGGATGGATTTCAAAACTGAATGTTGGGTGTAAATTTTGTGGGCAGGAATGAAAATAAAAGTTGGACTTGGGACCAGTGGGCTTATTCATAGCTGTGTAAATGGAGCAGTTAAAATGCAGCACTTCCCTTGAGAAGAGTGCAAAGGTGTCTTCTATCTGCCTGATTTGGCAGTCCCAGGGCAAAAAAAAGGAGAGTGACGTGAGGAAGAGGGTGTGAGACCCCACTGTAGAACCCAACAAGTAGAAACCCCTACACAGTGATTTGTAAAGGTGCAAACAAATTAGAGGAGGAATGCACGTGCTTGTATTATCACCAGACTTGGTATTCATTTTGATCATATGAATCGATCTAGTATCAAGTTGCAAATGGCTGAGTGAGAAGATGGCTTTACAGCGATGCTTAAGCGCCACCTGGATGGCTACGGGCTTTGTTTTGTAAGGTATTTTAATCAGTAGTCCCTTACTCAATTTCATTCTCTTTGCCTAAACTGAACCAGCTTAGGCAGGTTTATGTGTGCTCACAATCATCCTGTATTATGACAGCAATTTTTCTGAGAATTTTTTTCAATCCCTATATTTCTGTGGAAGCAGTCTGGAGAATATTGGATTTCCTTTTGGGGAGAGCACATCAGATTCACTGTAAGTGTTCACGTGAATTTTTCAGGTCCTTGCTTCCTTGAAAAGTAGCAGAAAAACACTTGCTGTTGGCAAACGAGTAAGATCACTTATAGCAACTGGTTTTTAGACAGCTCCAGTTTCAGGGTTTTCTTAAGCCTTCTGTTACTTTTTTTTTCTAACAGAAGCTTCAAGATCAGATGCTGGTTGGAAACCATTCCTTCTGTAAGGTGCGGACATAACGTTCCTCTTGTGAGCTGCTGTTCTCACCAGGTTCCTCTGTAAATGGGAAGCTCTTCAGGAGCAAGCCTGGATTTCAGTAGGAATGTTGGTCAGTTTTTGGAGCGAGGGAAAAGGATGGCAAGTCTATGGGGGCCTTGCAGGACTTTTGGATGCTTCTCTTGCCACCACTTTTATCTTAAGTGTTCTTGTAGGTTTAAGTGTGATTTCTCTCTGATCGGGCTGATATTAACTTAAGTGTTCTTGTAGGTTTAAGTGATTTCTCTCTGATCGGGCTGATATTAGGTAGTATCTATGTCGATGCTTTACTTCAGTCTGTACAGATGCTTTCGAGTAACATTTTGCCAGGAGATGGCAGTGAATTACCAGTTTGTACAGCGTGAACCAGCAGACAGAATAGCAAAGTGTCAGGCTGCTCCTATGAGGTCAGACACCGTGTAGGGTGTCCTGTGGTGTTAAGTAGGTCTTGACAGACTTGGAACGTCCAAGAGCAAGTTCCCACGCACCCGGGCAGGTGAATAAGAGGTACAACTGCTGATTTCTGGGAGTCCCAAACATACTTGTGTGTTAGCAAAAAGCATCAGCAATGCAATGAAAATAAAGGCTGAGGGTAAAAACTGTTGCGTGTGGCATGGATTGTATATTTTTAGCGGATCGGTACATCCAATACTAATATCAAATATCTTTAAAGAGAAATGTGGACATCTAATGATATGTATTATTAATGAACGTGCTTTCAGCTGTAAGTGGCTGTTTGCGTTAGCTGGTAGACATGTCAAACACCAGTGCTTCACTCCAGCAGTGGGTTCCTAAGAAGTCTGGGGTCACCCGAGGCAGTTTGACTTTCTGCCAGGGTGTTGCTGCTCGCAATGTTTGTGAGGCCATTGCAGAGGCTGCAGGACAGATGTTGCCTCAGAGAGTCCTGCATTGCTGCTTGTCTTAAGCAGAGATTTATCTCTTATCAAAGAGCTCCGGTTCTCTCTCTGGAGCAGCCCCACAGCAAAGGTGTATGTCAGAGGGATGCTATTTGTGAATAACAGGTATATTTTTTGAGATAAATCACAGAGCGGATAAAGACTGAGACGTAAGATTGACTTCTTGTTAAATAGTGGAAAATCCATACATGAAAAATCTTGGTGACTGGATATGTCCTGCTGTGCTTCAGCTAAAGCTCATCTCAGCGATCAATTGCAAGACAAATTGTAGAAAGCCCTGCCTTATTAGTTAGTGTTTTGATTTAAGGGCTCATAGTCAGGTGTCCTCCAGAGCTGCCAGACGCTTGCCAAGGACCTCACTAATGTTGCCAATTGCAATTTTGGCTCGCCAAGCTTTTGATGTGGGGCATCACACAGCTTGTTTTGTCTTACTTTTCAACACATTTCTTTTTTTCCTCAATAAAACAGAAGATTTGGCCTTCGTACATAGAACCCTTCAGTCTTCAATCTTAACCAGGGCTTTGAGTGATCTTCCAATGGATTTGTATGAACCCAATGACTCCCATAGCTTGCAAGGGCATACAAATGTTTATGGTTTGGAAGTGGACTGTAAGGAATAATACTATGGCAGGTCTTCGGGTTTTCCTCTTGTAGGTTTCATCTCAATATTTTCCAGAGTGTGAAATGAAAGTGTACAGTCTCTCAGTTATGAACTGGCAGGGAAGCAGGTATCTGCCTGGAGGAAATTAAGGGTAAGAGAGTTATTTTTACTTTTAACTCCTTTCATTGCAGTTAAAAAGCTTGAACTTTATAACTTGCCTGTTTGAAAATTACCCGTTGTATTTTCACTTAAGAAAGACTCTGCATCGGCGCCCAGGGAAGGAGGTATGTGGCTTGGTTGATTGCAACACTTGAGTATACCTCACCTAGGATAAATCTCTGCTTAAGACAAGCAGAAAAAGAATACTAATTTTCTTTCATAACTTTCATCTTGCCAAGTCAGATTACTCTAGCAACAACTCTTCCTATTTTGATATATTTTGCAAAAAATGCAGACCATGAGGTCAAGATTCGTTAGGATTTTAGTATTTTATCGATTGGCACGTGGATGTGGTTGAAATGGTACAACTCTATTTTACCGTTAGTAAAAAACGCGGAGGGTTTCTTTCAGTAAGGAAAAGCAGTCATAATAAAGTGTAAGTAATAATAGTGAATGATAGCAAGAATAAATTTAACCGTGTTAGATGTAAAATTTTATAGACTTGGAGAATGTTTTGTGGACATTAGAACTCGCTTTTCTTTGAGTTAAATTAATGTATAGGGTGTTATTTGTCACTGCAGACCTTGTCTTGCTTGCTTTCAGTTTATTTATTGGTGAAACTATATAGCTTAAAATCATATTCTAGGTCAAATCAGTTAAAACTGATAACAAACTATAAGGACGCAAGTTTTTACTGCATACCATATGTATTATTGTGCATATTATGTCAGTAATAATTTTTTTTTTCATGTTAGTGATAACCATTTTTTTAATTAGTGAGGATCACGCTAGTACAAAAATTGCAAAAGAGATGCACTGGGAGGATGAAAATGGTTTCTCTTCTGCTGCCTTCCTCCCCCACGGTCCATGAACGTGCATAATTCCTGAATATTGATAAAAGGGGTTTGCTTCCTCATGGCTTCCAAGTCTATCTCGTCTAGGTTTGGCCCAGCAAGTTCTCGGGTTCCATACTCTCTTGCTGTGCTGCCCAGAGTCATGTGGTCCTTTAGATCCTTCACCTGCCTCCATGGCTGTGCTGGTTGATACGGCATGTTGCCTTGGGTAAGCTTCTGTTTCCTCTGTTTTTCTGGGAGACGAGGGATTTAATAGCTAATCTAAGGGTGTTTGGGACATTTCTGGGCTTTAAGTTCTTTATTCACAGATCAGAAGTCTGGCTAACACCAGCTGTTAACACCTGCTTTCCTGAATAATAGTAACTATAGTTAATTTCACAGAAGGAACACATCTCTGCAAGGTCAACTTTTTACACTTACCTCTTAGTAACTTTCCCAGTACCGTACCTGTCCTGCACCTGCAATGTACAGGTTTTCAACCCTTGAATGTCTCACTACCTTTTCATGTGAACTGTAAAAAAGCTACACGCGGAGAAGGACAAGGAGGAGAGGACTGAAAAAAATAATGTCCTGTTGCAATTGCAGGTATGATAAATGAACTGAATTTCACCCCAGTAGTTTTACTATAATAACTTCTTTAAAACTTGGAAGGGTTGTGCCTGGGTGCTTTTTTTCTCCCCTTTTGTCCTAAATGAGCTTATTTGTGGCTGCAACTCGTAACACTGGTACGACCCATCCAGTAGCAGCGTGGGTCAGAAGAAGGAGCAGAGCATGCGGACTTGACAGTAGGTGAGTTTTACTTTCAGTGAGTTTTACCATCATATTCCTTTCAGTTGTTAGAGCGTCTCCGACCCAGTGTCATGATGCTTGTGGGAAGGAGGATCTGGGGAGGCAGAGTACAGTTCTGTCGGGTTTGGTTGACATATCAAAAATCTAGCAGGAAGGAACTGAATCATGTTTAAAAAGGCTGAGGCTATCGTCTAGCTTGCTTTAGTACTTGGGAGTTGCACGGATTTGAAGCAACTGACAACAGATGAGGCTGAAAGCTGGCTTTTACCCTCTGCTTAGGCTTCTTGAGTAACCTCTGGTGTCTGCCACTGAGTATTTTAAGTTCCAGATCAACGAATTTCTGGAGAGAATGTTTTAGTCAATATTGCAAGTAAAACATTGCACAGTCCTTTCTGTTGTCAGGATATTACTGTCTTCTAAGGGAGACACTGTTTGCCTGTCCCAAGGATTTGTTTCTGTGCCATAGTTCAATGTTGTTGCTCCTGCTGAGAGAACACGGGGTCCTTGTCTGGAGCTGCCCCTGGTCACGGTTAGTCGGAGAAGTGGTGGCCTTTCCCTTTTCTGATCTAGTAAACTGATGCTTGACAGGGGTTTTTTTGGGTCATGTGTATCTACCCTTTAAGAAGATGAATTAGCGGAACCAGTACCTGAAATAACCTCTCAGCAGCAATGACAGGTCTTTTTCATAGGTCGTAACACAAATGATCCTGCTTTTCCCGCGTGGCTCTTTATTTGTATGCCCTTTGGACTAGTTGTGCTGTCTAAAACCAAAAAACCTACCAAGCTTTTTGTTAAAGTTGTGTGTCTTAGAGCCAAGTGTTATTCTGATTCAGGTACGAGCAGTGCTGTTGGCAGACTGGGTACTTGATTGCGATGTGACTCCACAGGGACCCCAGAGTTGTCTTCTGCTGCTGTACAGCTTTGGTGCTCGTCAGCACTGCTTAAACCAAATAAATGCGGAATATGAAGGGTCTGAGCGTGCTGCCAGCTCTAGCAGCAGGATTATTCTCTTGGTACCTATAATATCTTCAAGTAAGGTATTCCCAGTGAAGATCCATTTGAAGAAGTGAGCTCGGGCAACTTCCCTTCTTCGCTTCAACGAACCGCTTGATGTGCTCTAAGCCTGAGCAAGGCACTGCCCTTCCTGGGCTGCACGGAAGGCAGCGGAGGGGACAAGTTTCTTCAGGCAAAAGCCAGACACCCCACCCTCCTGCGAGCTAGGGTGAACACAAGGAAGCATCCCAGAAAAACATGAGAAACTTGAAAGAAACAAAGTCAAAATTTTTAAAAAATTTATTCCCTCAATTTTATATACAATAATTACAGACTACTGTACAAAGGTGTAAATGGTCTTTGCCGTGAGTTGTGCATATGCAGCTTAGTAGACAGATTTAACATTCAATTTGAATCTCAGTGCAAGTAGGCACTAAAACATCCAACATACCTCCAAGGTATAAAAAGACATACCAGTTTTACAGGTTTCTCCAGCATATTGTGTTACAGTGCAAAATGCTATGAAGTAAGGTTTCTTTAGAAAATTCATATAAATTAAACACATATTGCACTTGTCCCAACCAAAAGTGTAACAAGCTGTACTTACTGAATTAGTTTGATACGTTTCAGAACTTTCCTCACACACATGCACTCCTTCCTCCGGGCTATTTGTGCCAAATATGTGTAGTTCTTATTGCAAATCTTAAGTAACTGTTATAGATCTTTGACTAATGCAATCCCTCTTGAACAGACTGATAAAAGGAAAAAAAAAAAATCACAGTGGATTAAGGTAAAAAAAAAATTCTCCAAACCCTTTTCCAGTCGTCTTTTCAGTAGTACTGTAACTGAATACATAAAACGATCAGTATTGTTTAAATTCATAATGCAAGTCTATTCAACACCAACCATTTCAGACACTTACACCCCTGTTTTTTGGAAAGCTACGAAACCTCCACTTCTAAAGACTTACGTACTTCTACAATACTTCAAGCTGCTAAGCTAACATTGCACCCACGAACATGTCGTGCAATACCACAGGTAGGACTTCGACTTCTGTACATCACTGGCTGCTATGGGACACGTTGGGAGAAGTGGCGGAAAGTTGCACTGACTTCAGAGAACAAAGTCTCCTTGGGCTGAATCTAGTCAATAGGACCCGTGCACTCACCAAATGAGAAATAGAGGTGAAGGCAAATAACATCGGTCTTACTAAATTCAAGTTTCCCTAAATCCTTACAAGCCTTGAGATTTAAAGGAACAAGTGCATATGAGTGCAGATGCTAACTCTGTGCTTAAGACGTTTATTCAAAGCTGAAAGGTAAGGAACAAATCATATTTTTATTTTGGGGGGGTTTTGTTGTTTTTTTGTTTGTGAGGTTTTGGGTTTTTTTTTAGCAAACCAGTATGAACAAAGTTGCTACTAAAGCCACTGACATATAAAAGCAGAGGAAAAGTAAAACACGTGGCTAGCTGAATGCTACTGCATGTCTTGAAACAGTTCAGGGTTACCTGCATAACGTCTCCAACATTTAACTTCCTCTCCCTACTTCACCTTCGAGAACTATGCTTACTCCTGTTACACACACAAAGAGCATTTCTTTTCTGAAAACATTTCTGCATTCAACTCAACTCAGTCATTCAGAACGTGAGTGGAAGAAAACCTGATTTCTGGTACTACGAGATCCTCCAGATCCTCTTCTGGAGCCACAACAGTAACTGCACAGTACTTCCTGAAGGCAGGTCCCCGTCTGACTTGGATGCTACTGGATATGAAGTCCTTAATAAGGCAATATGCTGTTTATACGAGTAATGAGATGAAATCCTAATCTGATGCATTTAGGAATTCTTTACATGGATAGCATACATTTACACCACTTGTGCGGGTCAAGTGTTCATGTTTAAAAAAAAACCCAAAACCAACCAGCTGGGCGTTGGATTGGGAGGACAGACAAGGTTCACAAACTGGAAGGCTGCTGGATTACTGGACCTGGTTCACATTCACGAAGGTTGTCTTCTGACCTCATGTACATTAGGAACACTGTGACAGTAGCAAAAGTAGCTGCGTTGACGGGAAAAGCACGGAGAAGTGTGGAAGTGAGACCTCTTGTGAACACCCTCCAGCCTTCGTCGTGGTAACTCTTTCTGACGCAGTCTAAAATGCCATTGTATTGCGTGACGCCTCCGACTCCGTCAGCCTGAAGCCGGGATTTGATCACATCCATGGGGTAGGTGGAGAGCCAGGACACGATTCCCGACATCCCCCCGGAAAACAGCAGTTTGGGAATAACGTAATTGTCTTCAGCTTCACAGCCTAAATACCTGGTCATGCAGTCATAGGTCAGGAAATAAAAGCCGAAGCTCGGAGTCTCTCTTATGAATGTAGAGACCATGCCCCTGTTGATACCCCTCAGCCCTTCCTTTCGATAGATTTTGATCAAACAATCCAGCGAATTTTTGTAGTTCTTCATTTTTAGTTTGTATTCACCTGTTCCTTGAAGCTGCATTCTTGTCTTGGCCAACTCCATGGGACAGCAGATGACGCACTGGATGGCCCCTGCTGCTGACCCTGCAAGGAACTGGTTTAAAGGAGTGTCTTTTCCAAGAGCACGAAGTGTATTTCCTTGTACACCGAACACAAGCGCGTTAATGAAGGTAAGTCCCATCATTGGTGACCCGATACCTTTATAGAGTCCAAAAGCCTAATGGAAGAAGGAAGGAAAAATCCTTTTCAACAGTGGTGCTGAGAACCTGCTGAAACTGTGCAGAACGTGGCGCTTCTGGCTCTCCCTTGTGCCCTAACTTTCTAACAGTGGCCAGAAGATCAGTACCATCTTGTGTAGTAATAATAATTTCATCCCTGCCTAGGACACAAACATCTAAACACTTTTAGCAGTACAAATATATAGTTGAATGCACCCAGAAAATAATCTTAGTCCATGCAGGGAGAAGTTTCCTGGTAAATTTTATACTTTATTTTTTAAGCAGCTAAAAGCCTAAAGCCACCCTTTTAGTGATGGTCTTAAAGCTTCAGCAGAAAAAAAAACCCAACCAAACAAAAACAACTCACCAATTTCTTCACTCATTGCTCAGATTGTTTGGATTATTGGAAAATTAGCTATTCAAATAACTTATTTAAAAATGTGAACTTCCAAATTAGCGATCTTCATGAAGTTTCTGGCAAACTTCTGACTACAATATCTGCCCCATGGTCAGGTGAGGTTCGCAGTACGTTCATCTCTTGATCTTCAACATTTGTAGGGCTTTTTTTAACAGCTTTCCCACCCTTCTGATTCAAAATATATGAAAATAGAAAATACTCAAAGCATTCATTTTGTACTTACAGATTCTTGCTTTATGATGGACTGAAAGCAATGGAAGGTCCCACGGTAGAGAGGTTTCTCTACATTTTGAACTTGTAGACGAACCTATAAAAAGTTGTAGGAGATACTGATTTGTATGTCAAGAGCAGCCGAAGTGGTAAACTAGTGTCTTGTACATATATGGAGATTTGCTATAGCAATGTATATGCAAGAGCACAAGCTGGACACTGGAATGCCATATGTGGCAAAATAATTAAAAAATATTCTGTAAGTGTTTTGAATTGATTTTGGGGGTGAAAACATGAAGGGAGGAGGATTATTAACTTCGTGTGAATATTAGAAAAACAGTATGTGGAAATACAACAGGGTACCCTCTTATCTAGAATTTCAGACTGAAGTTCTCCAGTCCTGACTACATCAAGTTCGTTCTTTAGCTGCCGAGAATACTTCTGTTCGCGCTAAGGAATGTCTGTTCAAACCTGATAGAATTTTATAAAAACTTATTTACAAACCAAGCATGGAATAAGGATAATTTTAAAAGAATGGAAACTTTCAACAATTTTTGGCTACCAGACTTGGGGCCCTTCACTGATATCTGATTGATTATTTTTTTTCCAGAGGGAAGCTGGGAAGCGACTCTTGAGGTGTCTTACTTTGCATAAGGAAACAAATAAAAATCCACTTGTCCTTTTAAATGTGTCTGTGGTGGTGTGTTTTTTTTTTTTTTAAACCTGCTGCACAGAAACAATGTGTGAGGGTGTGGCTGTTTTGAATCTTTAATGTTAGTAATCAATTAACTTTTCCAAAGCAGAAAGGGGATGTTCTGCTGGACAGGTAGAGGCTACTCTAACGGGTGATGTTAGGAGATGGGCCCTTTTGCTAGATGTTTTTTAACCTTTAATGGGAAACTCCAACTCCTAATTTGTCCTCAGCACACTTAAAACAAGTCTCAAAGCTCCCTAGTTCATGCAAAGCCCTACACTGCAATAACCTCAATAAATTGCTTTCACTGGATTGGTAAAGTTAGAAATCTCTCTTTGATCTCCAGCATGGAGGACTGCAATGTTCCTCAGAAAAGATGCTTATCAACCATTTAATGCTGCTGCTGCAACTCCAGGGCAAAAAAACCTTCAAGACACTGATTCTGAACAAAAGAAACGATTATCAGGTCTGTGTGAAAGATTCCTGACTTTAAGCAAACAATGATAAAAAGATTTTAAAGTAATAATACACAACAATGAAAGACCAGTGAGGTGATGTGGGTCTAGAAAAGGATTTGGGGACACAGTTTGTCAAAATTCTATATTCAGGTTAGCTTTCTTTGAGGCAAAAAAATAAATTATTTACAGTTTCAGTATTATTTATTTTTAAAAGGTTAGCTTTCTTTGAGTCAAAAAAATAAATTATGTACAGTTTCAGTATTATTTATTTTTAAATATTCCTAGAGCATGTCATTTTGTGCTTTGTAAGTCAGAACTTTAGTTTTCAGTGTCTTTTTAGTGTATGTGTTAGTCTATGCTAGCCAGACTGGGAGATCACCTCGGGTCGTCCAAGGTGGAACAGGGTTTTAAAACATCTTAGCCTTAAAAGTGGCCTTATGGTAGGAATCAAAGAAAATAAACCCTTTGTTACTCAAAGTGATGTTTAGGGGCGTAGGCAGATTGTTAAAACTGCTTAAGAAGCAGAACCACAAGCAAGTCATAAATCTTAACGAGCTGTCAGAATTGCACAAAATGAAGGGTTTACTCCATTTATGGTTTACTGCTATTTTTTTGGTCCCCATCTTTGAAACCAGGGGACTTCCCCACGTATGGGCTCTGGGAGAATTGCAGCTTAGGAATCTTCTCACTTCAACTTTTCTATACACTTCTCTTCAGTAGTTTAGAATTAGTCATATTCTCTGTCTGGGTTGGATTTCCCAGTGGCATACAGCTCCCACTGGTTTTGTCCAAGCAATTTGTGAAATATTGACCAATTAATTACGTTGTAGGATACGTCAGTGTACTGATGCTCCAGCTCAAAGAATCAAAACCAGCTCTTTCATCGGAGCACAGTGCTGATCACGTAAGGGTACCCGCATTAGCAAACCGCCGGGTAAGGCGAGGAGTGCACGGGAAACTTCACTTCATGAGTATTAATGCCATATTCAACAAACTCTTTAGCGTTTACAACTACAGGAAGGATGAATCATGTGCAAGGTTTAACCCTCTGTTCTATTCATCGCCCAACATTCTTGCTTCCTTCTTATTTGAAACCACTGTTACTGAGGTTTTAGGTCCAATAGTAGCATGCTGTAATTTCACGTCGCTTAAGACTTGCATTAAAGGTACTCAAGACTAAGCAAAAAAAAAAAAAATCCAAAGCCCCAAACCACCACCCTCCCAAAACAGTCCAAACATTCAATAATGTGCAGAATAAGCGATTTAGAAGTGTTTGAGCAATGAAAATGTCCTCTGAGGATATGAAGCGGATAAGACCTCAACAACAGTGTGCCTGAGATTCAGTTTTAGAGCCCCTGTGTGTACAGCCAGAAATGCATACCAGAAAGAAGGTTCAGAATAAGACTTTACATTTAAAAAAAAAAAAAGAAAAAAAGGGATATTTAAACCCCGCTCCCTCCATGCCATATCTGTAGAAGAGGGACACATCAGTTTAAAACTAAAAAGGGAAACAGCTTCATAAGTCTTTTAGGTCTTTATTTGAACTAATACATTTGGGAATAAATGAAGACTGAGAGAAACAGAAGTGTTCACCTGGGCTATACTTACTAGGTAACTCTCCCGTGATGAGGCTTATCTGTCATCTACAACAAAGTAACACTTTTGCTGTTAATGAAGACAGCCCCTAGCTCAGAAAGTAAAGGCAGTTAAAAGCAAAAAAGCAATTTTTATACATTACATCAACAAACCAGGGATAAGGAGTTTGCCAGTTCTGAGATCAGCTCAGTTGCGGGTTTCGCAGGGCGACTTCGCCGGCTCAACCTCTCCCTGCGTGTCCCACCATCCCCCTCCCCGCTACGTGAAATGTGATCACCGGCCAAAAAAGGAGCTTAAAAGCCAAGACAGAAGTAAAATTCTGGCTTATCTAAGCAGCTTTCCCGTTGTTCAGTTATATTATAAACTTACAGTCTAAAGTGACTACCAGCTAGCCCTTTAAACACTGTGGAACTATAAGAAGGGTTAATTCTTAACACATACATACAAAACAAGTTATGCAATGCCTTTTTTTTTTTTTTTTAAAAAAAAAAGACTGGTTACAGTGTTAGTTTTCCCACATACAGTGGTGACTAGTAACACAAACATTAGTATTTCCTCTGACAAAAAAAAAAAATAAATAAACACTTATATTTCATGGGCATGAAAACAGTGTGCCACACTGGATTTCATAAAACATTTCAAGTCATCCAGAAACAAACCGCTTTGCTCTATTGTAAAGCAAGGTGCTTTTTTGAAAGCCAACCCATCTATTTTGCATTAAAACATCCGTTAGGACTAGCGCGAGAACCCCAGTTTTGCAAACACTGAAATATTTAGTTGCATGTTCCACTTGAAACCAATAAAAAAAAAAAACCCCACGCATGCTTAACTGTAGTCTGAGCATAGAATATTAGCAGTTTTGCTGGCTTCAGCGAAATGACCCGTCACCTTAAGTTAAGCATGTAAAAAAAACTTGGCAGGATGGGGGTGAGAGAAAAAGACAGCTGGCACTGTACCACCGTAAAAAAAAAAAAAAAAAAAAAAAGAAAAAGGAAAAAAATATGTGCAAGTCTGGATAATACCATTCCTGAAAAATATATACTCAAATTCAACTCTATTACTTAACAGTCAAATTTACCATAGTCTGAGAAACACGCGTTCAGTTTTTACTATTTGAGCAGCTTGCACTTGTCTGGTGAAGACTAATATCCACTAGCGAGGAAAATCTGTATTGAATTAACCATGTGCTAGAATATGGAATGTGGTGATGACCTCAGTAACGCTATCAGCCCTTTGCATATCTAAATTCAGCAAGGTAGGGGTGGTCCAAATATAGCTCCAGCGGGTGGCATGCTGTCTGCTGCAGTCAAGTGATCTGATGTATTAATTTAGCTGGGAATATATTGGCACCCCTTCTTCTATTCTTCCAGTGCGAGACTTCGGATAAGGCTGCCAAAAAGTGACTTTAAGTTGTCATCCCATTCTGAAAAATGGGCTTGGACCCCTGGGAGTCCGGGCTGGAGGCTCTCCAGGAGATTTCAAACCTTATCTTTGTGGAATTCTTAGCTACCCTTAGCATGCATAATGCCTACAGCTGAGCAACTATCAGAAAAATCCATTTTAACTGGGAAAGTTATAAAAATATATAATATTACTTAAAGGGAGGAAAAAGCCCCCAGACAAGCTTCATGCTGTGGATTTGTATCCACCGTTGGCTATAGTGTAACAAATTAATTCTTGAGGAGTAAGTAGCAGAGCTTGAGGGGGAAACAAAACAAAAATTTTCAACCTAGTAACAAAGTCGGTTGGAGTGACAGAGGCAGGGAGAGGTGGTTTTAGCAGTTAGTGATGAGCAGCTACAGAAAAGCAAATTTCGAACAAAATTCAGTTAAACCTAAGATCGTCTTTCCAAACACGAAATTGTTACTGCACTGATGAACTTGTAGTTTAGGCCTATGTTTGTCACGTTATTGGGTTGAACCATACATACAAACAATTTTTTTTTCACTTCCGAAGAGCCGGAGACTGCAAATCTATAAACCATGGCAGAGGAGGCTTGCTCCAACCTTTCCAGCACAGATTTATGCTCCTACAAGGTCTGAGGATTATTTTTTTTTTTCCTCCTCTCCTGCTCTTTGGAAAAAAAACTTCAAATTTTCTACTTAGAGACAAAGGTATTTCATAATCAACCCACCTTAACAGTGTCAAACGGGTGTCCTACCAGCACTCCAGCAGCCCCTGGAACAAAACAAATGCCGTGGTTATGCCTCATCGTTTTCTCCCTGGGTCTGTGGCTCCAGCACCCCGAGCACCAGCCTGAGGTGTGAGTGCAGAGCCTTACTGGGAGGCAGCTACAGAGCATCCCCTTGAGTCAGAAGGTAAGGGATCTACAGTTGGGTCCTTCAGGCCAGCACTGGGTGCCTTTATGCTCCCATCGGGCTTCTGAGCCCCAGGTGAGGGTCGAGGTGTGAGACTACACTGCGTGCCACGTCATACAGGACGTTCAGCAGCGATTCCTGGCCTCAGCCCAAAGCAAGTCCAGTGGCCAGAAGTTGCAGATTTCCTCTGAAGCAAAATATTTCATGGATGTGCCACGCTGGAGGCAGAGAAAACCAAGATGATGCTCTAAAGGCAGGAGAAAATTCCTCCTCTCTGCCCACAGCCTTCCCAGATGTGATGGTAGCACCTGTAGGAGGACCATGCATTACCAGAAACCTTTGCTTTATTCTAGTGTCTAAGGACTTCTGAGAAGTTCCATGCAGGCCTGTTTGTTATAATAATCTGAACACATGCATTTTGCACTGAAAGACACAAGTACTGGCTGAAGCAAGGGATCCTCTAGCTCCCTACTTCTGTGACCAGAACTGGAAGTTCAATCCATTTACAACCACCACCAGCAAGAACTACCAGTGCTTCAGCGCACCTTCCCACAGCTGCAGGAAGAGAGTATCTCTCCTCGAGAAGATGTAGCAGAAATAGGAGGCTGCTCTAGGATGTTCAAGGCCAGCACAGCAGCAAGACAGTCCAAGGCACAAAAATATATAAGTACTTAAAGGGAGGGTGCCAGGTAGATGGGACCAGTCTTTTTTCAGTGGTGCCCAAGGATAGGACAAGAGGTAAGGGGCACAAACTTGAACATAGGAAGTTCCATCTTAATATGGGGAGGAACTTCTTTACTTTGAGGGTGGCAGAGCACTGGCACAGGCTGCCCAGAGAGGTGGTGGAGTCTCCCACTCTGGAGACATCCATATGCCGTCCTGTGCAACCTGCTGTAGGTGACCCTGCTCTGGCAGGGGGGTTGGACTAGATGATCTCCAGAGGTCCCTTCCAACCCTAACCATTCTGTGATTCTGTGAAAAATAGCGATGCGCACTGTGTTCAGCGCGAAAAGCCCAGCGGCACTGCTGCCTGTGCGGGATGCCTGGCAAGCAGGGGTCAGTGGGAAGAAGCCAGAGGGAAACTGGAAAAAATAATAATAATAAAAAAAAATAATTCCCTTTGCCAGGTTGGCAGGGAAAACAGCAAACGCAAATAACTGAAAAAAAAACCCCGCGAGAATAAACCTCCCGAGCACAATTTAACGAGGGCTAAAAATAGAAGAAGGAAGGCCGTAAGCAGATGCACGGGGAAGAGCGCGGCGAGCGGCCCCGTTCTCCTCTCCCTCTTCGCCTTCAGCGTCTCCGCTAGAAATATTTGCTGCCGGGAGGGGGTTCCCGGGGCCGTTCCTGCCCCTCTGCTGACCGCCACTCAGTAGTGTCACTTCATCGCCAGGCAGAGAAAAAATAAATCAAAGCTGTTGACATCATTCTTCTTTTTCTTACCGCAACACCCAACTGGTCTGTTCAGCTTGTATTATACTGCATTTGCACAGCTTCTGCTTCTGTGACCCATTAGGACAGAGCCTGCTTGTGCTTAACAAGGGTCTCTTTCATGCTTTGTGGATCTCTCCAGGCCACAGCAGGACACAAAATAATCCCTTTTGCATTTGGTAGTTTCACAGTACTTTTCTGGTGAAGATGAAATAACCTTTCTGAATGAAAACAATAATGTCATCTCCATAAGCCTGGTTTTGATATGAGGTAATTGTATCATTGTTTCTGCATTTTATAGAATGAACAGCAGCTTTTTTTTTTTTTTTTTCCCAGCAGATCACAAGATTTGAAGATACTAGAATCTGTAAGGAAAGAGTTGTATAAGTTTTAAAAATCAGTATGGAAGTAGTTCCTTATGGTAGCATCTGGTAAGACTTACATAAACAGTCTATCTGGATCATAACTTAGAAATTTGAATTCAGACTTTGATTCAAAGAGGCCAGAGTTTTCTGAAAGTTCATATGCAAATCTCACGGCTTCCCCTTACTTTTAGTTCTAACATAAAATGAAAGATCTGTATTGTAGAAGACTTGTTTATAGGATACAATCTGCTTTGCACACATGAAACTTCCATCTGTGTATACTGTGCATATTCTGTAATGTTTTAGGTTCTGAAATTTATTTCTGACAAATATGCTGTATACAAAAATCAAAGTACCTTTTGCCTGTTTTAGCCATCTACTTCGAATTTCACACAGTCAAATAGGTTGAACTAGATTTGAGGCTTTTTTTTTTTTTTTTTACAGCTACTGTTGGAGAATTAACCAGAAAAAAATTTTGGAGGCTGGGGAGGTGGTGGTTGGGGAGGGGGGGGAAGGGAAGGTGGGGGCAGATCATCTCTCCTGCGGAGCATCATTAGCCCCAGAGTGGTTTTGGGGGCTCAGGGAGGCTGCCCGGGGGCATCTGACTCTCTGGGTGAGGGATGTCCCCTCCGGGAGCTGGTGGTTGGAAAGCCGGTGGAGCTGATGCGGTGGGGACTTTGGAGGGGGGTGTCTCCTTTTAATAGGGGTGAAATGCCCGGAGCACCTCTCCTCTGAGGAGAGGCTGAGAGAGTTGGGGTTGTTCAGTCAGCAGAAGAGAAGGCTCCAGGGAGACCAGATAGCCCCTTCCAGTACCTAAAGGGGGCTTGTAAAGATGGAGAGAGACATTTACCAGGGCCCGTAGTGCCGGAACGAGGGGTAACCATTTAAACTAGAAGGTAGGTTTAGACGAGACACAAGGAAGAAATTCTTTATGATAAGAGCGATGAGGTACTGGAACAGGCTGCCCAGAGAAGCTGTGGCTGCCCCATCCCTGGAAGTGTTTAAGACCAGGCTGGATGGGGTGTTGGGCAACCTGGTCTAGTGAAAGATGTCCCTGCCCATGGCAGGGGACATGGACTAGGTGATCTTTAAAGGTCCTTTTCAACCTAAACCATTCTGTGATTCTACAGCCAGACTCCCCCTCCCAATGTTGTTCCCGAGAGGTGAGGAAGGGATGCACCAGCAGATGCGGGCTCTTGTGCTAACTGCTGTCCCCACGGCTCAGCTGCAAGCGCGGGGATGTGACCCTACCTCTGATGGTCAGGTTCCCAAATCAGCAGCCTGCTGCCCGCTGGGGGCTTGGCAGAGCCCTGGCTCTTCACCTTATGCTGTGTTTGGTGCTGCAGAAGAGGCTCCTCCCCTCCCCGCAGGCTTTTCTTGTTTTGTATTAACTCTGCTTTCCCACCGAGGTTACCTGGCTTCAAGGTGCCCTGATGCCAGAGACTTTAAATGGGAAATTCGAGCTGTTGACAGTTTCAGAAGGTCGCCCTGGTTAAGCGGCTTGGTATTTCTGCGGGCAGTGGCTGAGGAAGGGGAACGCCAGTGGCCTAGAACAATAAGTTGCCTATTTGAGCTCTGTTGAGAGTAACACGATCTCCTCTGGGCCTGCAAAGTCAGCTTTCAAGAGAGTAAGTTCCAGAAGCAGAATGGAAAAGAAGCTGCATTTTTTTCTTTCTCTCTCTTTTTTTTTTTTTTTTTTAAATCTTTTCTCTTTTTTTAATTGCTTTCCATGGTATGGCAGAGCTTTTGTAGGTGTGGCAGTTCAATACAAAGCTGATAAAATCTTGCAGTGGAAGAGCATATCAAAAATCAAGCCAGGTTTTACCTTCCGCGTAAAGAAAACACAAACGAACAAAGACAAGGAGGCTTCCAAGGAGGTCTGAAACTACTACTTACAGAACAAATCCTGAGAATCTGGACCGTCCAGGTCCAAGGACCATCCTCGGACCATTATTACAATTGATAAGCAGCTAAGGTGGAAATGCAAAGCATTCAATGAATCCCTGACCTTTCCCATATCTTCTTCCAATCTTCAGGACACTCATTTGGGTTCCTTCTCATCTTTAGACTGTCAGATCCAGTCAAGCCCCCTGGTGTCTCCAGGATGCTTTGGATTCCCTGATACACATACCTGTCCCACCTGGGGACAACCAGTTGGGATAAGAGAGCAGGTAGGTGGGCTGACCTGCCCTGTGCAACAACACCGATGGCTTTGGGAGCTGCCCATGCTGCTGTATCACACACCGTTCCACCTCCTGACGGGGACCTTAGACCTTGCCAAACCCATGCACCTGCAGCCAGTCCTTGAAACCAGACAGGAGGCCCTGACCAGTCCTTTTTCCTTAAACATGTACGCCAAGTAGAGGTGGAAGTGGCTTTCTGTGAATCTGGTGTGCTCTGGCATGTGCAGGAGGAACTGCAATCACGTGCACAGCTCTGCAGGTGAAAGTCCAGATGTTACATGCATCTGCCTTCTAGCAAGAAGCTTTGGAAGGAGCACCTTGGCCTAAAACATTCCTGGCCAAAGTGTTTTTAGTCTGTTACTCAAACCCTCTGATCTCCCAGGCAATCTGCCTCAGAGGAATTGCGTTCTCCACCAGAAGTGTTTTGTAATTTTAATGTTTGTCCGCAGTGGCCAGGGAAAACAAGTTATTGCCTCTCTCTTTGTGGGCGCCTTTTAGGTTATCTGAAGACACTTTCAAATCTTAGTCTTCTCTTCTCTGAATTATATCTATTATTATCTTTTGATCTCTGATTCTTCTTAGCTCGCTTCCTTCAGCTGAGTTCTTGAACCGACCCCTAAGGCCTGGCTGAGTGAGCGATGGGAGATCACCTTGGGTGTTTGCAGATAACACTCTGGTTCATATCTCTGAGGATGAGGTCAGATATAGCTAAGAGTCCTTTCATAACATAATATAAAGTGATGTAATGTAATGTAACATAACATAACATGACATTGTTGACTTACAGGCAGCCTGTGCCGCGTGATGAGCCCCAGACCCTTTTCAGGAGATGGGCTGCATGCCACAACATTCCCTACCTTGTACTTGCCGTTGCTTTCTGCA